ACAATCATGCCACGTTCAAAGTCACTCAAATCAACTTTCATCCCCATACTGATGCTCGGTTTGAACTGCAGGAGATTGTCTTAAACATGTCTACATGCCTAAATGCACTGAGTTGCCGCCATGTGATTGGCTGCTTAGAAATTAAGTGTTAACGAGCAGTTGGACAGGTGTACCTAACAAAGTGGCCGGTGAGTGTATATATATATAAAAATCTGTGCAGCCATTGAGGGATTAAAAAACAGTTAGGTTACAGAACAGTTAGAAAGTAAAAAAAATGCTTAAACATAAAATGACCATTTGTATGTCATGCAACAACACACACACACACAAAAAAAATTCCTGACTTGTAGGTTGAAGTGTTTCAGCAATTGTCATGTAAAACAATCATACAATCATGACAATGCATATCTTGGAAAGAACAAAGTTTTGTATGAAGGTTTGAGTCAGTGCTGACGGTAGGGATGTATCGGTATGAAAATATCATATCACGATTATAGTGACCAAAATTATCACGATTATCAATATTATCACGGTTTTGTTAAAAAGAGATGAAAATGTTCAAAAAGAAAAGATATGCACACTGAAAACATTTCAACAATTTATATATTTGGAAGGAAATCAACAAACAATAAATAAAATTAGCAGCTCTATGCACTTTTTTAAACCATGAACATTAAATTATATGACCGTCGTCAATAGCAACGCATTTATTATAACACAGCACACATCTCTTCTATCACCGCGAACGCGCTCTCGTTTCATTAAAATGCTATTATAAATGAGGTTAGTGGATAATTCAGCAGCAAATGTTATTTTAGTGAAAATTTCCAAATTGCTCTTTGACTTTTGACTTTGTATTATTATAAAATACATTGATGAAAAACAAATAAATACATTTAGCCTACATATACTATAAAAAAAAAAAATTCATTTATTTTAAATGTATAGCACAGCTCTTTCATGAGGCAACAACATTTGATAGATAGGACAGAACAAGAAAGATTATTAATAATCTTAATCTTTCAATGTGCAAAAGTATTATAGGCCTAATATGAAAGGCTCGAATACAGAGCGGCAAAGCGCTTATGTGCATCCCGTGCGCAGAATGATGCGCTTGAAGCAACATGAAGTCACAGCACGCAGCACTTCGCATTAAAAAGTAAAAAAAAAAACAAGGGGAAGAGATATTGATGCTTAGATCATATCTATGCAACAGTTTGAGCCTTTTCTTTTAACAGTTGTAAATTTCAGTTACTGTGCGCGTGAAGAATAATTCATAGTGCTCTCTCTACTAGGGTTGTCACGATACCAAAATACCAGTAGTCGGTACCAATACCATTAAAATTTTACGGTTCTCGGTACCAATTTCGGTACCACAGCAAAATATGTTGGAACTATTTAACTATTTTATTGAAAAAAATATTAAATTCAATGAGTTTATTATTTATGATGGTAATCATTATAAGTAAATAATACATATAAACATTTGAAGGGTACATACTGTTTAAAAGTAAACTGTTTATAAAAAAAGATCAAGTAAAACATAAGCAACCCTCTACACACACCTAGTAATAATAATAATTATAATTAGTGTTAGTATTATTATTACATTGAGACATAGCTAAATCTACAGTACAACAGTAGCCCAATATATTTCTGTCAATTTCTTCAAGTTAAACCAAACCTTTATTTTGACGGGTTGCTGTGAAGACCTCTGTGGGTGTATGATATGATAGTTTTTTCTCAAATGAAACGGTAAAATGCTCATGAAGTGAATCAGACCCAGAGCGGCTCTGGAGATGAAGTTAGTTAGCATGCATTCATGTCCTCATATAGTGAGGTGGAAGAGGCTGATAACACAGCGAACGTCACGCGTGCTTCAGTGTGTCTGTGTGTGTGGTAATTGAAACCGCGCATCTGCACCTTTCACACAGAGATGCGCAGAACATCCAGGATTCATATTTAAATAGTCTTGTTGTTGTCAGTTAGTCTGGATCCCTGCGCTTAGATAAACACGGAGACGACTGAAAGCAGCCGCCTGTCAGCGGGTGCCGAATATATCCAGTACTCTGTGCTACCTGTAGCTGCTTCACTGTAAAGGTGCTTTGAAACAATCTGTATTGTAAAAAGCGCTATCTTGACTTGACTACCAGTACTACAGAAATGCTGGTAATTTTAAACGATAATACTAACCGCGAGGACATTTAATCGTGGTTTATCGTGAAACCGGTAATCGTTCCATCCCTAGCTGACGGCAGCAATGAGAACATGGACTCACCGTCCCGCACGTCTCTCAGTCTCTGGAACATGTATTTGTAGCTGCTGATGAGTGAATTGTCTCCTCCTCCCAGCATTTCCACCCTCACACTGGTCTGTCCTTTTCCCGTCCAGCGAGGACCCTGCACTGTCCCAAACGACGAAACCACCTCTCCTCGTCCCCCACGCATGCCATATTTTTGAGAAGGTGTTGCACTACACAAACAAATAAAGCAATTTTATATTAGATTAAATGTAATGTATCATCTTGAAGTGAAAAGACATGTCATGGTAATTATTCTATGTTGTCTTTAGGGTACTTACTGGGAGATCAAACTTTTGGTTGGCTTGGTGATTTTGTTAATGGTTTGTTTGCCTTATAAAGACCTCATATATTTAAAGCTATCTAAGTAAAAGTTTGGTGAATTGGTTACCTTGGTGAGAAGCTGGCAGGTGACAGCATTAGACTGGGACTGGCGAGTCGGGCCACACCTCTCTTGGACTGAGGATGTTCTGGGGTGGTCAATGCTCTCTTCTGAGAGCCCTGTGGTAACACAGAGATGAAGACAGTTATACATTACATTTGCAATTTCTTAGCAATCCAGTTACAAAGAAAGCACATTTCAATATATTGCAAATTACAGCAGTTCAAATAAAAGTTGGGTTAAGACTGATTTAATTTTAAGAGCTGAGCTATACAATACTTTCTCATTGGGAACCAATAATGCATTTCTATCTGTTCCAGTAAGTCTCCCCCATTAATCTGTATCCCATTTTTCTCACCTTGGCAGGTGTTGAATAGGAATCCAACAGGTTCTCCTCTTCCTCTTCTGCTCGAATTCTGTGAGATTCTGTTAAGAAGACCACTGTGAACATTTAGGGACCAACTGAAATGATGTCAAATTAAAACTAGTGATGGTTTGAGCTAAAAGGATACAGTTCCTGGATAGAGTTGATGTCTCTAGTCTTGTTAAGCTGGCTTCCCTTTGATGAGCCTTTTGACTTTTTCTTCTTGTTCAGTATCTGAAAGAGTACATAAACAGTATGCAAATCAACCAGGGAAACATTGGGTATCTTATTTATTAAGGCATATGAACAAGAGACATGCAGCAGTATGCGTTTATAATGGCCTTGTACTAACTTCATGTTCAAACTGGTCCAGGTTATCAAGAGTGAGCAGCAGCTGGTTTTTAGAGGTGCTGAAAGCAATCCACTCGAATACAATCTCATCCCCTTTCAGCCTGTGACACAAACACTGCTCCAACACTACAAGAAAGAATAATTACAGCATATGATCACTGTAAGGTGTGTGTATATATATATATATATACCGGTCAAAAGTTTGGAAACATTACCATTTTTAATGTTTTTGAAAGAAGTCTCTTATGCTAACCCAGCCTGCTTTTATTTGATCAAAAATACGGAAAATATGGTAATATTGTTACTATTTAAAATAATGGTTTTCTATTTGAATATACTTTGAAATAGCCTATTTATTTCTGTGATACAAAGCTGAATTTTAATCAACCATTACGCAAGTCTTCAGTGTCACATGATACTTCAGGAATCCTTCTAATATGCGGATTTATTATCAATGTTGGAAACAGTTGTGCGCTGCTTAATATCTTTTTATAACGTGATACTTTTTTCAGGATTCTTTGATGAATAAAAAGTTAAGAAAAAGAACAGCATTTATTTCAAATGGAAATCTTTGGTAACAATGTTCACTACCGTTCAAAAGTTTGGGGTCAGTTTTTTATTTTTAAGAAATTAATACTTTTATTTAGCAAGGATGTGTTAAATTGATAAAAAGTGATAGTAAAGATTTATATTGTTAGAAAAGATTTCTATTTTGATACTTTTTATTCTTCAATGAATCCTGAAAAAATGTATCACAGATATTAAAAATAAAATAAAATAAAGCAGCACAACTGTTTCCAACATTGATAATAAATCAACATATTAGAATGATTTCTGAAGGATCATGTGACACTGAAGACTGGAGTATTGACTGATGAAAATTCAACATTGCATCACAGAAATAAATTATATTTTTGAAGTATATTAAAATAGAAACCCATAATATTAAATTGTAATCATATTTCACAATATTACTGTTTTTTTCCACACATTTATATTTTCACAATACGGCACATACTAATTTTTAGAGCATTATGTCATGCTAACATGTTAATTTTATATACAAAAACCAAAAAATAAGAAACTTGACGTTTACTTTTGTCCACAGTGTCATTGTTGAAGGCTACGTTGAAAGTGTCCAGTTCAGACTTGATGTCCTCTGCAGTGACTGATGCCATTGTTGTTGTTGTTTCCGCTGATGTTCAAATATAAAAAAAATCTGTAAACCAAAAAAAAAGAGAAACGCCTTCAATAAGATGTACGCGTCCCGATTCACACATTTCATTAATCGCAATTGTAACAGAACGAAATTTTAGATTCTCACTGGACTGGCGCTAAATACAATAACTTATTTTGCTTTCTAAATACAATTTTATTCAGCTGAACATAGAGCTCGAATTAAGAAATGTACCTTCAACACGGATAATACAATAATATGAAAGTTTACCTTCTATATTAACGTCAAAAATCAGCTGTCATATTCCTCTCAACAGTCTTAGCATCACGTTTGGATTGCCGCGAAAAAGTACCAGCAAAACAGCACTGAAGGGTCACTTCCGGTTTTCCCACGCGCCCTCCAAGACGCCAGAGGGAGCTCGAGACTGTTACATGAATTTCCATCCGATCAGCTGAAAGGAACCAAAGCCTGTTGGTGCTACACGTGTTTATAATACCCTGAACGTATACTCATATTTGTACAGTAAATTTCACTCTTTGGAATCTCAGCCATTACTTATCAAAATGCCGAAGGTTAAAACCGAGAAAAAATCTCGAAAACATCAGGAGGTGAAGAGTCAAGGTAGGTTTCGTTGAGATGTTTTGTACTCATGCTGTCTGACGATTTAATGAAGTCTAGATCTGTAGTGAAAGGTAAACATGTTATAAATCTAATTTGGATTAAGGGAGAGCCTTTAGAAACCTGTCAACAACACGTCCAGGTCACATAATTGAAATGAAGCTTATTTTTCTGACCATAGAACATTGTGACATTACTTTCTTGACAGTTAAGCACATTTTCATCCACAGTCTCATCACTGTATAACGCGTAAAATACATTTGACTTTTGATGTTATGAGTATATTCATAATATATATATCGCACTATATATATATCTCACACACATATAATTTATGTGCTTTATTGTAAAGACAATACTGTCACAATTTTATTTAATTTTTCAAAAAACAAAACAAAAAAAAACTTTTATGGGATTATGTTTTAACACATCTATACAATTTGTTAGAGTCCACCCATAAATAATATACGCAAAAACTCTCTGTTTCTTCATGTGTTTCAGGAATTATGTTCAATACTGGTATTGGTCAGCATATTTTGAAAAACCCTTTGATTGTCAATGCCATCATAGAGAAGGTCAGTAATGTGGAATGTGACTTTTTCTGGCAAATTTCTGAATGAGCTTTCTGTTTGCTTGACCACATTGTCACGGCACACTATAATCGTTGTATTGATTTAATACAAAAATATCTTTCCAGGCAGCATTACGACCAACAGATGTGATTTTGGAAGTTGGTCCTGGAACTGGTAACATGACTGTCAAACTCTTGGAGAAAGCCAAGAAAGTAAATAAGTTACACTGAATGTTTATTGCTAGAGTTTAAGTAGTGATGATTTTTTTTAAAATTATTTTTATTTCCCCCCCAAACAAAACTTAATTACTTAATTTACTATAATTCAAAGGTGGTTGCATGTGAGTTGGATACCAGGCTTGTTGCTGAGCTTCAGAAAAGAGTCCAGTGCACGTAAATACAGATTCATTGCTATCATTTTCAATACTCCAGCAACAACTTCAACATCTGTTTGATTGTAAAATCTGTTTTCTCGATCAGTCCAATGCAGAACAAGCTTCAGATCCTCATAGGGGACGTCCTAAAGACGGAGCTCCCCTTTTTTGACGTGTGCGTGGCTAACTTGCCTTATCAGGTATTGCTCAGAGATTTTTCTCTTTGGTTGCTGACATGTTAGCTCATTAAATAATATTAGCAGATACAACTTTTGATGTTAATAATGTATTTCTAAATGTTGAAATTAACATTAACTGAGATTAATAAATGCTTTAGAAGTATTTTTCATTTTTATTTCATGTTAATGTAGTTTAAGGTACACTATGTAACTTTTGGCCCTCTAGCAGTTATAAAAATTAAAAAAAAAAATTCTAGCACATCTCTACAACAACCATAATGAAATGACCCTTCACAACAGATAATGCTTTACAATAAACTCTGTTAGAAAGCTATATGCATATGGCAATTTAATTGATCTGTTCAATAAAATACCTTACTCACCTGTTTAGTAATAAAAACGCCATCTCCACATCACTTTTGCTTTTCAAATCCCTCAGTTCTTACAATTTCTGAAAAGCCAAGTCAATGTTGATTCTCATTTTATTACACGCTCTGTCTCGGTCTTTCTTTGCCAGCAGACTCTCCTCTGTTTGGCGTTTTTTATGACAACTAACCTATGCTACTCCCACACCATACCCTGAGCAATTTCCCTTTAAAACCATCCTGACAGGTCTAAAATATAAACACTTTTTGGAAGAATGATTGATATTGTATTGACTTATTTAAATTTAGTTAGTTTTGAACATAAAAGTTACATAGTGTACCTTTAACTAATGTTAACAAATTGAACCTTACTGTAAAGTGTTACCCAATCACAGCTAATCATCTAATCGAGATTTTGTTTTTTTTCCTTCTAGATATCATCACCTTTCGTGTTCAAGCTGTTACTTCACAGGCCATTTTTTAGGTAAGAAATTTGATAAACTGTTTTTTGTCTGATTCATTAAATGTAAGTGCAGTATAGAGAAAACAAACGATGGGACTTTAATTCCTACTGCTGTCATATTGAGTGTTAAGATTTCGACAATTTACGTTTTTGTGCTAGTAGTGGCTTGTCTTCTCCCCTTGTACTCCCTATGACTTTACAAACCAGTTAAAACACACTGCATTACAATGGAACATAAATGATGTAAACATGATCAGAGCCAGATGAGGATGAGTTTATTGCCATGCCAGTAATAGTGATAAGTTTTGTATCTATTCTGTCTGTAGATGTGCCGTGCTGATGTTTCAGAGGGAATTTGCCATGCGTTTGGTGGCTAAACCTGGAGACAAGCTATACTGCCGACTGTCCATCAACACACAGCTCCTATCCCGCGTGGACCATCTCATGAAGGTTTGGAGAGTCCCAACATTCATTAATTGACTGCTATTGGTGTCTGTATTCATTTATTTACTGTTCTTATGCATATGAAAATATGTAAAAACAAGTTATGACTGCTGCTTGAGAATGGATAAATCCTCAAGTGTGTGGAATGCATAGTTTGTAACTGTTATATGTAGAGATACTGAAATGTTATGCTTATAAAGGTGGGAAAGAACAATTTCAGACCACCTCCAAAAGTAGAGTCCAGCGTGGTGAGGATAGAGCCCAAAAATCCTCCGCCACCTGTCAACTTCCAGGTAAGTGTATAATTAAAATGTATACTGTCTGTGCAGTTATTGGAAATAATATAACAGTTTTTTTCCCCACATTTAAAGGAATGGGATGGTCTTGTCAGAATTGCATTTGTCCGAAAGAACAAAACGCTCAGTGCTGCTTTCAAGTAAGACGTCACTAAATTGTGTTTTTGTTGAGTTTTAAATAGTAATAAGTTCAAGAAGCTGGCGAGTCTTGATAATGGATTGATGTTTTTGTGTTTTCAACGCAGGTCTTCTGCAGTTGAGCAATTATTAGAGAAGAACTACAGAATCCACTGTTCTGTGAACAATATAGTGAGTGCTTCACTTTGACTAAGTCCACAGTCAGTCGAAATCCGATTATTTGTGTATCCAATTGGAATCTGATCTAAATGATTGACTGTCTACACTTTGTATCCTATCTGTTCGGATCTGATTTGTATGATATGACCATGTGTTTCTGCAACAACGTCTGATGTGTTTATACGTTTTATGTGGCGTGAGAAAGTGACAAAAGCAACAAAAAAAAAGCTTTGCAAAATCGAGAACGGTTGGCAGAAACGGATTCCCAGAAATGGGATTTGAATAGGAATTCAAACCACATATGTAGCTAGCTTGAAATGGATATGCACAAAAATCGGATTTGGACTGACAGTCTGAACAAGGTTTTAGACACTTTATACTTGACGTGATACACAATTATATTAAAATACATTTCCAAATTGTACTACAGGAAGTACAACAGGATTTCAACATAACTCAGAAAATTGATAGCATCCTTCAAGAGTCGAAGTTTAATGAAAAGAGGGCACGTTCCATGGATATTGATGATTTCATGGTGTGAGTATGACATACTTCACTCAATGAAAAAGGCTTTTAAATGTTTGTTTTTTGGGAGGGCGTTTCATTAAGCATCTTTTCTGCATCCATATTTTATGTTAGGCTTCTTCATGCCTTCAACTCTGCCGGGATACACTTCTCCTAAGACTTAAGGAACAGTGAACAGCTACTAGGTTGACAGGAAGTGATGTCACAGTCTTCTCGTATTCTGGTTAATGCTTTCATCCATGTGAAGAAATGAATGGCATTTCTTTTCAATGGACATGCAGTGGGACACTTAATCTCTCAGGCTGGCAATGTTTTGTGCCTTTGCTGAATGATGAAATATTTCCGGACTTCTTTCTGAGGTAAAACTTTAGTTTTATTCCTCTCAGCTTTGAAGAGGACATATGTAATGGCTTCTTACAGCTTTCATTTAATATGCACTCTTCAGTTGTGAGTACACCAGTTTACTTTTGATACAACTGATGCTGTTGTAAAGAATATTGGTCTTCATCCCCATCAATCTCAGCAGTATACACACAAAACGCTATCCTGCCCACTACTGCTCAATACTGAACTGTCAAATTGAGAAATAAACTGCTTCACAATAAAGTTCAGTTGGTTAACATTAGATAATGTATTAAGTGTCATGAACTCATTGTTATCAACTAACAAAGAGCAGCTATTTTTACAGCATTTTTAGGTTAATGTTAATTTATAATTACTAATTGCTAATTCAAGTTTGTTTATGATAAATTAACTTGTATAAAAATTGTAATTAATAAATGGTGTGAAAGTATTATTCATAAGTTGAAACTTCTTGTCAAGGTGTTACCGATAAATCTTTATTAACATTCTACCTACAGTTAATGTTAGTTAATTATGTAATAGGTGATTGACCTATTCTCAGATTCATTTAAGGCATGTTTCTTAGGAAGGTTTAGCTGCACAAGTTCAATAAAACCATGAAGAATCGTGTTTTGTGTAAAATCGCTTTAAAATGTATGTGTGACTTTTCAGTAGTGTTTTTCTATTATGAATCACTTTGAACTGTTCAAAGATGCTCTCAACTGCTTTCAAATTTTCTGTAAAGCAGTGTTTCAGATCCTCCCGATTTGGTGCGGGAAGAAAGTTAAAGATAGAAATCTGAACAGAAAAATTTGCTTTGAAGCAACAATTGTAAAATGTTTTTCTTGCTGCTCTATGATGATAAGCAACACTTGAGTTAACAGTAAAATACACTACTGGTGCAGTGACTTGTTCTCACAGAGGAAAAAGTTCAAAGCTTTTGATTATGTTATGCTAGGCTGACCAATACCTTTTACGGAGACTATAAACATACTCTGTGTTATGTTGTGTATATGAATACAAATGAATGACTTTAATGAGGCCCTTTTGTGCACCATACTAATGTGGACCATCCCTCAGATACTGAGTGTACCCTGCTGAAAAAAACAAACTAACAGCATAAACCATAAAAAGCTAGATTGGTCTCATTTGAATCCCAAAAGTAAAACAGTCTTCTTAAAACAGTCTTAACATAGTGGATATGTTTATGAAACTGGGCCCTGGTCTTATTTGGTCTGTTGGACAGTTTTGAAAGGATTTTGGGCATATTTTAGTTGGTCCGACTTGTTTAAACCCATTTTTTTTCTTTCTTTCAGTCAAGCACACTCTCCAGACTGCTAATGCTAAATAGATTTACTGCCAAATGCTAATAGTGGTCATTCACATGCCAAGATTAAACGAGTGTAATTTGTTTTGTGTGGTGGTTGTTGGATTAAATGAGTGGATTATTCCTGTGGCTGTTTCAGACTCTTTCAAGTTGTTTTTTTGTCAATACATTATTTGACCACTAGATGGCTCTCGAGTACCATTACAGATATTTTATGTACAGTATAACGTACATGACAGCTAATCCCTCTTTCTTTTTCTTTCTTTCTTTCTTTCTTTCTTTCTTTCTTTCTTTCTTTCTTTCTTTCTTTCTTTCTTTCTTTCTTTCTTTCTTTCTTTCTTTCTTTCTTTCTTTCTTTCTTTCTTTCTTTCTTTCTTTCTTTCTTTCTTTCTTTCTTTCTTTCTTTCTTTCTTTCTTTCTTTCTTTCTTTCTTTCTTTCTTTCTTTCTTTCTTTCTTTCTTTCTTTCTTTCTTTCTTTCTTTCTTTCTTTCTTTCTTTCTTTCTTTCTTTCTTTCTTTCTTTCTTTCTTTCTTTCTTTCTTTCTTTCTTTCTTTCTTTCTTTCTTTCTTTCTTTCTTTCTTTCTTTCTTTCTTTCTTTCTTTCTTTCTTTCTTTCTTTCTTTCTTTCTTTCTTTCTTTCTTTCTTTCTCTCTTTCTCTCTTTCTCTCTCTCTTTCTCTCTGACAGTGATGTCTTTAGAAAAGAAATAAAGATAAAAGGGAAGTAGATTTGTCATATGGTAATTAGATTTTGACTTGCTGTTGAACTTAATGAAATTAAATTCTGCATGTTTCCCGCTCACAAAAGTGGCTCTTTTCACTCCTACCAACACCAAAATGTCACTGCATGTCTGGGCTGAAGTTTCTTACCGTAGAAGTATTGACAGATCCTATTGATTGATAGCTGACAGGGACTTGTATTATAGGGTGAAGTGTCTTGCTCCACAGGGAACAGGAAGAAATTGATTTAAGATTTGGAGCGTCACAAGTGTACAGCCTCACATGAGTGACAATGGCCTCTACTGTCAATCATTGTAAGGGTCTGTGGAAGAATAGACGGATAAGACAGAATTGTAGTTTATTAATCTACATTACATTTTGGGTTTGTAGGATTAAAAAAATGTTTGTGAAATAAGGCTCTTATGCTCACCTAGGCTGCATTTATTTAATCAAAATACAGTAAAAACAGTAACATTGTTAAATATTACTATAATAAATAACTGTTTCCTATTTTAATATTTAAAAATCTAATTTAATCCTGTGATGGCAGAGCTGAATTTTCAGCATCATTACTCCAGTCTTCAGTGTCACATGATCCTTCACATATCATTCTGATATGTTGATTTGATGCTCAAGAAACTTTTATTATCAATTATCATAATATCAGATGTGCTGCTTACTATTTTTGTGGAAACCGTGATACCTTTTTATTCGGGATTTTTTGATGAATAGAAAGTTCAAAAGAACATCATTTATTTGTATTATAAATCTTTTGTAACATAAGAAATGTCTAAAAGTATTCATTTCAGTAATATTCTTATATAAAACATTTTGATTAATTCACTGATTTAAATCAGTGGTGCATAGACGGAGATGCAGATGAATATTCAGTTTTATGAAACTCTAGAAACTTCCCACATTGACTCTCAACACTTTTCACAAAGCAGACATTTTAACGTGATGCATAAAACATGAAATTATGAAGCACAAACAGTCATGTTTGACATTTCCAGAGCTAAATGTCACATGAACAGGTGTATCTCCTATTGCAGGACGTCCTGCTGTGCAACTGCTTTCTTTTTTTTTGGATCACACCTGCTCATTTGTACAGATCCCTGTCTAACTGTTTCATAGCGTATCGCTTTATCTTGTCTGCAGGTGTGACTGACTTGTCTGAGAAATGTATGTGGCCTTACGGCAAAATGCTTTCAGCGGTGTTGCAAACTTTCCGGCTGAGTCACACACCCTCCATTATCCTATAGCGCAGACTCTCTGTTTTCTGCTTGGCTACTAAAGTCCTGATGAAGATAATTAATTGGGCTTTAGGTGTGAATCCCTCTCATGTAGCCCAGATACTGTCCTAGTTTTCCTGTATACGCAGGTTCTTGCCAGTCGCTGAGCCTTGGGCCTGCTGATAGGATCGAGATTAGAAATTCAAATGTCTTCCTTCTTTGAAGTAAAGCGAGAGAGCTTTTGAGTCTGACACCCGGAGGACACGCCAGTCGTATCTACACATTGATCCTGCGAAACGTGTTTGACTTTTAGATTTAATTATTTATTTATCTATCTATCTACTGTATCTGTCTCTTTTATCCTGTTAAATTGTTCACTTGAGGCAGACGCTTAGATTCTCTTGATCACGCTCTCTAAAAGAGAATAAAGCAGAACTCTGAGCGACTGGAGGCCATGGGAAATATCTGACCTGCGGGTCAAGCATCAGTTGTTGAAGGGTTTCATTTGATGACTCAACTTCACTATTGCTTACCATTATAGTTGTAGAAGTTTTTCTTGCCTTCACTGACCTTCATGTTTTGTTGGCCAGATGATAGTGGCTTTTTCTGATTGGCTGGTGTGGTTGTGTCCCATAAATACTCACTGTAGCATTTAGCGCCTGTCAGGGTCAATGGTGCGGGGCCGGTCTTTACGACCCCCAGATACTGATGCCATAATAAGCTTGTCTTACTGGGGTCTCCATCATAGGGTTCACTAAGAAACGTCCATCACAGTATTGAATTTGTTTCCTGGCTGGCAGTGATGATTTTATTCTATCATATTGGCATCCGTCATGGATCTTGCGTCTTAGATTCTCTTTTTCATAGTTGGCCTTTTAATTATTAGGAGGGAAGAGAGAAAAGGAAATGATGTGGAGAAGAGCATAGAATGATGAAGACATGCATCAGATTAAAACTAGCTTTGCTCACAAAAGTTGAAATGGGGGCAAAAGTACAAAAACACTCTCAGACATTTTTCAAAATAGTTCTTTTGTGTCCCACAGGCGATTCCAGGTTAGGAACGAAATGAATACATGACAGAATTTTCATTTGAGTGAACTAAATATATATTCATATTTGGGTGACTTCAAGTTGGCAAGTTATTTGCAAATCATTTTCTTGTTTTAAGCATAAATCTTATATTTCTCAAGAATCAAAAGTCCCCTTACAGTCAATAATTATATCCCTTAAAACTCATTTTTGATCATCAAAATGAAAATGATTTATTCTCCTCTTAAAATCCCCATGAAATTAAAATGAAATATTTTTGGCTTTTAGTGTGAATATGTTAGCCTTACTGTTATTTATAAGCCAGTGTGCTCCAAAACAATGACAAAATTTGCATTTAGAAGATATAATCACTCAAAACTTAGTCTCTCACTTCCGCCAATGGATCAATGATTTTGATGACATCATGCTGCACTTCAGCTTCTCATCAGATTTTCTGTCCAATCAAATGCTCTCTAGAATCTAAAGAGTCCCGCCCCCTACATTATAAATAGATGCTGAAGCTGCGGCTAAAATCGGTCACTTGTTCACACATTTACTATTTTCTACGTTGTAAAAAAAGTTGCTGCCTTGAAATTTTAAGTACAATCAACTTGGATGTGTAAGTCATTTCAACTTAAATTACATTACACTAAATTAAGAAAATGAGTTTAATCTTGTATAACATTTTTTTTTTCTGAAAATTGCTTAAAGGGATAGTTCACCCAAAAATGAAAATTAGCCCATGATTTACTCACCCTGAAGACATCCTAGGTGTATATGACATTCTTCTTTCAGACGAATACAATCAGAGTTATATAAAAAAATGTCCTGGCTCTTCCAAGCTTGATAATGACAGTGAATGGCTGTATGTCTTTGGAAGTCCATCAAAGCGCATCTATTCATGATTAAAGTGCTCCACACGTCTCCGGGGGTTAATAAAG